ATCTTCTATAGGAATTTATTTTCCATCTTGGATTTCAAAAATGGACTGTAAAATGCATGACTATTTACTGAAAACCCTATAATCCATAATGTTGGTAACATTATGCCACCTGTAAACCACTGGCTCATTGTCATAATTCACAGGTGAACTCACTGGACCAAAAGAGGATGAATTGAACTTTTTACCTCCATTTCCCAACTGAGACCAAAGTAGGTTTGGCAGAGCATCTTGTTAGCTGAAGCGGAGGTGACAGAGACCTGATACAGGAATAAGGAAGTCAGTTTTTAAGTCCTGAATATTTTACCGCCTCTTGTGGAGTGTGTGTAAGTCTCTGAATCTGTGTGTGTGTGTGTGCGTGTTCCTTCTTGAAATGAATGATTGAACATCCATCTTAAAACACATGTTGCACCTAAGGGAAGTTTGGAATGTCAGAAATATCTGGTCATTTTTTAACAAAAAATTTCAACCATTAGAATAATGTGTTCAGTAATAAAATACAATTCCAAAAATGTAATGCCCTTTTTATGGTAGAAATATTGACACCTTTCCTGCCACTAGAGGATGAAATGACACAAACTCTCAAAATGTGTCTCAACTCATACTGTCCCTCTCTTTTCTGCCTCTTAAAAATCATTGAATATTATATATACTATTAAATGGAAAATAATAGACCTCATAAATCAGTCCATAGACACAAACACTATTTTGTCTTACCTCTAGTCCTATGGAACATTCCTGAAAAGGATGAAAACACTGGCATGACTGGTCAAATGTTTGGAATCCATATTGCCCACTTTGTTTCTATAAACAATGGAAGTCTATGTAATATTTAACTGAGATTTTTTCTTTCTGATGCCTCCTCTGCACCAACAAGGTATAAGCGTGGAGTGGGGGGTCAGAAACAAATGAGATTCAGTCAATTCCCTCCATATGCTAAGGATGTACTTGTATAAACAAAAATAAAATGTCCTGTCAGGGAGGTAGGGAAACCATAACTTCAAGTCACCAGACATTTAAGTCAAATGACATGAGAATTATCACTATCACTATTAGTAATAAAATATCTAAAATTTCTTTTGCCCTTACTTTATGCAGCTAGCACATATTTATTACACGGAGGACATTCATTCTTTATTTAATCCTTACTCAGTGAAGCTGTGTTAACTAGGACTCAACTCAGATGACAATCCCAAGTTTCAAAGATACCAAGACCTTTCTCAATAACACCTTAATAGTTAGTGGAGCAGACAGGATTCGAAATTGAATTGTCAGTCTCTGAAGTCTCATGCACTACCTTCATTGTGCCCAGACTTTCTGAAAGTTTTAAGCAGAGGTAGAGACCTTAACCACAGGTACATTCAAGGTGCATTTTTTTAACTGTTTTCAGTATCCTGAACAGGAATGGACCGCAAGACTCTGTCTTTGTCTCCTTTGGAAATTGAGTGGGTTGATTATAAGAATGGAGGAAGAAGTGGACAGTTAAAGTGAAATCCAAGAGCAAGGACAAGAGAGAGATCTGCCCTAATTTATCATGTGCCAATTCTTTTTATGACCTTTGCCTGTTGTCTCAATCATCCTTTCTATAGTTGATGCAGCAAATGCTACCTATGGCTTTCCACAGTGGTCTACCAGAAAACTCCACAGGAAAGAGCATAGTGAGCAGGGGGTTCTTGGTCAGGATTGACAGGGAAATGAAGTGGCTGTTTGGATTGACAGAGGAGAAGTCTGGCCAGATGCCCTGTGTCTGGAGTCAGACTGCCCAGATTCAAACCTGGCTTCACCTCTTTTTAACTCATGACCCAGTACAAGTTACATAAAATACTATGCTCCTTTCCTTTTATGTAAAATAATAATAATGTATGCATTTATAATTTGGGAGAAATTATGCAGATGAAACCAAACAAAGTACATAAAACATACCCCAGCACCTGGCACTTATGAAGCCCTCATTGAAAGTACATGATGTTACAGTTAATGTCATCCTTCTCCTCATCACCTTCATGATCATTTTGGAGTGCTTAGGGGAAAGCTTAGGGAGACCCATTTTCTGCTGTGATGAGCAAGTATCCAACCAGAGCCAGCACGAACGAGGGTGGAAGCAGAACTCTGAATGAGAGTTCTCACATCCCCACCAGAACCAAGAACACAAACTCCATAGAGCTTTAATCTGAAATTTGTAGATTAGTGCCCTCTCATCTACCTATTCCAACTGTCACATTTGTCTGGTTGAGGAGAAAATTATGCTCCCAACACTTCCTTCTCCAATCACCATCTTCCACAGCACTTACTGGGCAAGCCTGCATCTTTGCTGGAACATGCCCAAGGAGTACGGACGGATTGGCTGTTCTTCTCCTGCCTTGCGTGTGATGAAGGATTAGGGTCCCTCCTCAGGACTGGCAGGAAAACAGACCCAGGCTGGGAATTTATGATGTATATGCCCACAAAGAAAGGAAACACAGATATGGAGCCACTACAGTAAGACTAACAAAACTGAGGGCTGGAGACACCAGCCAATTATTTACAATGGTTTGGCCTTAGGGGCTCAATGCACAAACCTCCTAATTAGCCAGTTGGTCCATGTTGTCCTAATCTCTGGGAATTTGCTGATATTAATGGAAGGGAAAAAGAAAAAAAGTGAAAATCCTTAGAGGATCTTGATCCTTCCTCTCCTGAAGAGGAAGGTCACCTGTGGTCCTTGCTTCTTACTTCCAAGTTGCAGGACCTTAACATAAAACTCAGAGTTTTTTAAAATTTAACCACATAATATGCAATTTTGATATCGGTAAATCCATTTCATTAACCATGAAACTTACAAAGAATTAGGTCTTTTATACCAAGAATGTGACATTATTTCCATTTTATAAGTTAATGTTTGTATTTAAGGATAACTTTTTATTTTCATTTCCTTATATGTTGCTTGGGTTGGCTTTCTAGCATAATCCTGAACTCATCACACAACAAAAACTCAACAAAAAGTCATTGGAGACAACCTGGCAAATGGGTAGACCTTCCTCCTCATTAGAAACTTCTGCAAACCTCACTGTACTATTTCCAGTCAATAGTCTCAAGCAGACCCCTCGGTTTTTGTTATACCAGGAGAGCTCCTCCTTCAACATCTGGCCAATTTGCAGCCATTTAACAGCCAAATTTAACGAACGTCCCCAGAAGTTCTCATTTCTGCTAACTAGAAAGGAATCAAATCAATCCAGAATCTATTTTCTTTATATTGCTTTGTGTTCTCAGCTCTTGAAAACGATACTAAAATGTGGTTGGGGTTTACCTGGGTGTTTTTTCCTGGTGGTTAAAGTGGGATGTATGTGAATAGTGGTGTGTTGTAACCCTCTAAATCCTATCTATGCATGCTTCCTGATTCAGAGATCACTCTGCTGAGGAATGTGGAGATTGGTTTGTCATTAAGAAATATAAAGAAAACTTTAGATACCGTTTTATAGAACTCAAAAGGAGCCCAAAGACCGAGTTATCATGACAGAATACAGGGAAGCATGATAATAAATTGAGGTCTTAACCAGAGCATTACTAGTGAGAGGACAGAGCTCCCCTTTGCTGACGACATGGTCCTTTGCAATTCTAGAGTGATGTAAAAGAAGATACATTAACTGTGATGACTTGGTGACTTCATGATCCTCAGGTATCATTAGAAAGCACATGGCTGAGACACATCATTTACAATCACCTTTCTCCCTGAGCATATTTTGCAATCTTCCAGTTGCAGGCACCTCACAAAATTCTTTTATACCCCGTATCACAATGCCAGTCAGAGTTTAGTCAAGAAAAGAGAAACCAGTCATTCTGATGAAGAAAATTTAATATAGGGAATTGCTTAAGTAGTTATGAAAAGACCGAAAGGCAAAGAACAAAAATAACATAGCAATTACAAGCGAAGGAAGTACTGCACCAAGGACTTAGGGATGTTAGGGAAAAAGTTGAATTTTTAGAACATACTGACTTTTGCTACCACTACTGAAAGTATGCAAGATGTACACAAGATGGAAAATAGAGCAGAGGTTTCAAGAGCTGCACCCCAGCATCACGAGGCATGGAAGGGTGAGGCTGGAGCAGAGACACTAGCTTCATAAGAAACACATGTGCCCAGCTCTATGGTATAGAGAGAGAGTATTTGAAGAAATATTATCAGTAATAATTGGAAAAACACATTGCCTACTGCTGCAGTAGGCTCTTTGTATCACTTTCCCCCTATGAGCTCTGATCTCTCTAGGATTTTCAGCATTTATCTGTCAAAAGTTGGGATCCAATACATAAAGGCCATTATGAAAAGAATATCTGCCTTAGATCAGTGGTTCGCAAGCTTGACTGCACACTACCAAAAGGATGCTTTTTAAAGCCCTCATGCTCAGGCGATACCCCAGTCCAATCAAATCAGAATAACTGGTGATGAGGTCCAGTAATCAGTGTTTTTAAGCTTCTCAGATGATTTTAATAAAAACCAAGATTGAGAACCAGAGACAGGAATCTCACACATACTTGCATAAACAGACTTGATGGATGATAAATTTGTATGGAAAATATGCAGAGCTGTCAAAAAGATGCACAGTTTGCCTATATAAAGAGTGGATCATCATTCTGAGATGCTTGGGTCACTATAGTTAAACTACAGAAGTCTCCATGGATGTCATAAGATTCAGTCAGGTAAGCATGGTCGGGTGCTCATTTGGCTAGAGCTTTGTCTTTATACGCCAAGGTTGTGGTTCAATCCCCAGCCAGGGCACATGCAAGAATAAATAATAAAACAAATAAGTAAAAGGAACAACAAGCTGATGTTTCTCTCTCTCAATCTCTCTCCCCCTTCCTCTCTCTCTCTAAAATCAATAAAAGTAAAAATTCTTTTAAATATTCAGTCAGACAGTGATTATGATATATGAAGGATCCTGAAAATAAGCCATGAGAGCTACAAAAATGATATGATGAGAGAGGTAAGATTTGCAGGTCTTGATGTTTATTTCTGCTGCATTTTCCAACCTTTACTTTAAATGGATGGCCGAAGTACTGAGATCAGGTTGTTTTTTGCTGAGGAGCCTCTGCACAGCCCTCTTGATGTCCCTATTCCTTAGACTATAGAGGAAAGGGTTCAGCATGGGGGTGACCACAGTGTACACCACTGAGGCCCCTGCACACTTCCTGGGAGAAAGTGAAACAGTGGAACTGAGATACACCCCAAGGCCCGTTCCATAAAACAGGCAAACAACTGACAGGTGAGAGCCACAGGTGGAGAAGGCTTTATACCTCCCCCCTGATGACGGGACTCTCAGAATGGAGGAAACAATTTTATAATAAGAGAAAAAGATCCCTGAGATAGGAAGAAAACCAGAGATGGCCCCAACAAAATACATGACTATGTTATTGGTGAAGGTGTCAGAACAAGCAATGTTGAGGAGTTGAGAAGGGTCGCAGAAGAAATGAGGAATTTTCACATCCTTGAAGTAGGTGAGTGATAACACAATTGAATTGTGCATCTGGGAGACCAAAAGGCTCGTGAAAAATGATACTGAAACCAACAAGCCACAGAGGCGTCGGTTCATAATAACCAAGTAGTGCAGAGGGTGACAGATGGCCACAAACCGGTCATAGGCCATCACAGTCAGGAGAAGACTATCCAAACACCCAAAAAGCATAAAAAATGACATCTGTGTCAGGCAGCCCGAATAGGAGATGATTCTGCTATGAGTCTGGAGGTCCACAATCATCTTCGGGACGGTGGTGGAGGTGAAACTGATGTCAGCCAAGGACAGGTTGGAGAGGAAGAAGTACATGGGCGTGTGGAGGTGGGAGTCAGAGCTGACGGCCAGGATGATGAGCAGGTTCCCAAGTACTGTGACCAGGTACATGGCGAGGAAGAGCCCAAAGAGCAAAGTCTGCAGTTTCAGGTCATCTGAGAAGCTCATGAGGAAGAATTCTGAGACACGTGTGAGATTTTGTGGTTCTGTGTAGCCCGGACACCTTTAGAATAGGAAAAGAAGGTTGGGGAAAGGGAAACAAGTAAATGGACACCCAGCACTGTGTCTATACTTTGGATCCAAGCAATTCACAAGTAAAGTATTCATACTGGGTTCATACACCATGGTGCCCTCAGCAATATTTCTCAGTGTCTCAAATCCAGTTTTCATAGAACTGTTTCTTCATTGCTTTCTGTATAATCCACATTTTCTATACACATTTACATTAGAGACACTTGCTTGAAAATGTTAGAGGAACACACATTTAGAAAGAGCAAATCCATGAATACCATAAAATACAGCCTACTCTTTCAGAGAAATGTATTAAATGAAAAATGTTCTTCTCACTTTAGAAAAAAAATTCTAATTAAACAACACTTAGAAGCACACTTACTTAAGTACAGTACAAGGAAGTCCTTCAATTTAGAATATTGATAAGGTGTATAATTGCTAGACCTACATTATCTGCTTTCTAAATTAAAGTCAAGTGTTCATAATCAGGAGGCATTTTTTATATGCTGATTATCTTGATCGGTTCTCATCATTCTTTTGGCATTCTGGCTTCTCTCCTCTATGGAAATATGTGCTCACTCATTTCTGTGCTCAGATATATGGGTTGTCTTTTAAAAAACCTGTTCAAATATAACCCCTCACCATGGCCTGGTAGACTTCAAATTTTAGTAACAATGTTTTGGTTAAACACACAGCATCATTGACCCCCATACGTGGCATTAGTGTATCATGCAGCTCTCAATCATTAAACAATAATTAACTTTAAAAAAACTTGCTTCCTACTTCTAAGCATATGCAGGATTCCATATCAATGCTACAGAATCTCAGGATAACAGCTGGTGTTTGACACTGCTTCTTTTTTCTTTTTCTTTCTTTTTTTTTTTTTTTTTTTTGGTCTCTTTTGCAGTGACGTCATGGAAGTGCTTCCATGTATTTCTAAACCTAAAGATTTGGAAATACAGTGTCCACATTGAATCCAACTCTTATTTACAATCATGGAATTTAGGACCTTGGGAGGGCCCCAAACCAGCTTCCTTATGTCTTCTCCTTAAATCAATTCTATTTTAAACCAGTTTTTCTTAAATACAGTTCTCCCGAAATCAGTTCCCTGAAGCCAACTCTGATCTTCATTTCTCTTGACAGGTTGCACTACAATTTAATTTGGAAAAAAATACAAAAAGGAAAAGTACAGAGGCCCCTGTAAGAAAAACCTGGGGAGTTTTCATATCCATAAAATGAGGATAATAATTAAACTTATTTGGTTGTTTTAAGAAATTAAATTAAACCAGTGGCTCTCAGTCCTAGTTGATTATTACAGTTAACTGTGAATATTATAAAATGTACTGATGCCCTGGCTGCAGCCTAAAAGCAATTAAATAATAATCTCTGCATGCACTGTTCTTAGCGGTAGTAAACACTGCCTTACAATACTTGCCAGGCACTTAGGACATATTCAATTAACATTACCTATTATAACTATAATTAATATTAGGAATATAAGCATTTAACAATATTTGCTTCCAAATTCATGTTGTATAGAGATTTGAAATATTACCAATAAAATTTGTGTTCTCCTTAAATCCCTGAGTGATCTCATTACCCTGCATACCTGTCCCCAGAAGTAAACACTGTCATTAATTTGCTGGTTGTGTTTTCTGTTAGTACTTCTGTAATGTTAGTGCTCATTTATGTATTTCTAAAGAGTTTTCTTGAAAACGTACATAAATAGTACATTACTTAACACATTGCCTCTGAGACATTATGTTTTGATGACCTTGCGATTCTGTAAGTTGTTACTGAATCCATTTTATCACTTTTTTCTATTTCCTTTCAGCTTGTTTTTTTTATTTTTTTATTCTTGTTCAAGTACAATTGTCTCCATTTTTCCCCCACCATTCCCCCCGCCCCACCTGTCCCCACATCCCACCCTTGAACCTACTCCCTTTGGCTCTTCTTAACTACAAAACTGTTTCTAAATCTTTCTATGAAGTACATACATCTAGATGTAATACTTTAGCTGATACATAGAATTACTTTTATTAACTTTATTTTATTTATCAATTCTTTATTTCAACAATCCTATGAAAATTCTTTTGCCTTTCTCCATATGAAACAAGTAAGAATTTCTATATGATATGTGCATGGTGGGTAGTTATGTTATAAAGACCTCGCAAGTTCAACTTTACCTTTTACTAACTACATTTATTTACCCAATAAAATAGTCAGTTGCTGTAACTACATGCTTATTAAGGTAGAGAATCAGAAATATTTCTGAAGTATTTAATTCTAGTCATTCCATGATAGCTCCATACAAAATTCATATCTTATGTAGGGGATAATATTTCCATATGTCAGATTTTCAAGCTGGGATATAAAGTGCATTACTACTCATAGAAAATCCAATAATCCCTTATGGTATTGCCATAATTCACAGAGGCTCTCCACTGTGGTCTACGAGTAACCTCCAAAGAGAAAAGCACAGTGAGGAGAGGATTTCTGTGTTGAACGACCTAAAAGTGGAATGGCTGGGTGAGTTAACAAAGCGAGAATACTGGCCAGGTTCCCCTTGTCTGGAGTTAGACTGATCAAAACATAGTTTCATTCCATTCAATGTCATGATCTGCTAGAAGTTATCTTAAAAGTTTATAATCCTCACCCTGGCCGGGTGGCTCAAGTTGGTCAGAGTGTAACCCTGTACACCAAAAGGTTGTGGGTTCAATCCCCAACTGGGACACTCTTGGGAGGTGACTGGTCAATCACCTCCACTAAGCCAGAGATCTGGCTGGTCTTTCTCTCTCTCTCTCTCTCTCTCTCTCTCTCTCTCTCTCATTGATAGACATATTATCTGGTGAAGATTGAAGGAAAAAAAATTTAAAGAAACAAGCAGCATACAGCACCTAATTCAGAGCCTGGAACTTGAGGCTCTTAAATAACTGTGCATGATATCATGCATATGGTCATCTGGCCTCATTTGGCCACTTGTCTTTATCATCATCTTCATGATCAGTTTGAAAGACTTAGGGGACAGTTTAGAGGTTCTCACTTCCTGCCCCAGTGAGAAAAATGCCTATTGGAGCTACAACCAGTGTGGGAGGAAAACAGAATTCTGAATCAGAGCTCTCGGATCCCAACAAGAACCAAGAACATAAACTACGAGTGCATAAGCCTCTGAGTTAAAACTGTCTATCGGAGCCTCCCATCTGACCACTCCAACTGTCCTGCTCATCCTGATGATGAAAAAACAGTGTTCCCCCTGTCCCTCCTGAACCCAGTATCTCCAACAGCACTCACTGGACTGGGCTGCCTCTGTGCTGGGGTATGACAAAGGAGCGACGATCCATCATCACCCTCATCATGTTTGGTGAGGGATGAAGGCTCAGGCCCCGTTCTCAGGACTTCAGGAAGATAGGGTCAGGCACAGACCCCTTGATGTATTCAATGACTCTGGGAAGAGAAGGCACACAAATAGATCCAACTTACTGGGTCCAACAAAGTGAAAGGTTGCAGGGCACAGGTTGTTTATTTGAAGTTGTGTAGACTTGAGAGCTCAATGCACAGAGCTCATAATTAGCCAAATTGATCCGTGATGTCCCAGTCTCTGAGGACTAGTTAATACTAATGGAATAGATCCAAAGGAAAAGTAAGTGTCCTTTGTAGGGTCAGAGTCCCTCCACCTCTCAGGAGGAATCTCACCTCTACCCTCCATTTGACTTTCAAGTTTTCTACATCTTATTAAAAAATTTAGACTTACTTTTTAAATAAATATACACTAAAATGTGAGTTTAGCATCATCAAATGCATTCAAATGACCAAGTAATTTAGGGAGAATTAGGTCTTCTATATCAAAAATCTGATAGTATTTCCATTTTTTCAGTTAATACTTGAGTCTCCCAGGACAACTTCTTTTCTTATTGTGGAAAGAACATTTAACATGAGATTTGCCCTCTTAACAGATTTTGAAGAGTTTATACATCATGGTTGACTCTGGGTGCAATGTTGTACAGCAGATCTCTAAAGCTTATTTATCTTACCAGAATGAAATTTTATGCCCTTGGATTAGTAATTCTCCATTTTCTCCTCCTGCTTGCCCCTGAAAACCATTCCACTCTATGGTTATATGAATTTGACTGTTTGAGATACATCCTATAAGTGAGATCATGCAGTACATATTTGTCATTCTGTGATTGGCTTATTCATTTAGCATAATGTCTTTGAACTTCATCCACGTTGTTGCAAATGTCAGGATTTCCTTTTTCCAGGCTGAATAGTATTTCATTATTTATATTATATTAATCACAGTTTCTTTATTAATTTATCTGTCAATGGCCATTCAGGTTATTCTTAGAACCTGTCTATTGTTCTGCAATGAACATGGAAATTTACATATCTTGTAGATCTTGACTTCTGCTCTTTTGTGTAAGTATCAAGAAGTAGGATCACTGGATCATAAAGTAGTTCTATTTTTAAAAATTTTTTGAGTAGTTATTTTTTTTTAATTTTTAAAATTTTCTAAGGAACTTAATACTGTTTTCCATAGAGGCTAACACATTTTTTATTTACACCAACGGGGTGCAAGTGTTCTCATTTCTCCACATTTTTGCCAACACTTGTCTTTTCTTTTTAAACAATAACCAGTCTGACAGGTGTGAAATGACATCTCTGTGTGGTTTTGATTTGCTTTTCCCTGATGGATAGTGATGTTGACCTTCCACACCTGTTATTTATTTGTATGTCTTCTTTGGAAAAATGTTTAAATTCTTAGCACATTTTTAATCAGGTTATTAGTATGTTGTTTTGGGGTTTTTTTTAACTATTTGGTTGTAGGAGTTCCTACAATATTTTGGTGACTAACCATTAATCAGACATATGCTTTGCAAATGTTTTTGTTCATTCCATAGGTTGCCTTTTTACTTATGAGGAATCTGAAGTGCACTGAGTTGCCACTTCAAATTTTTGCTAAGATCTAGATGGAGCTGTGTCTTCACATCCCACACCCTTTTCATTATCTGTGATGCCTCTCTCATACCAAGGATATTAGCACCATTGCTAGATAGTTACTGTGGACCTTTGTAGCTTATTTCCACCCAGACTTTCCCCCCCATTCATAGTGTTAATCAATAAGTAGCACTCATTCTAAATTTTGAAGTATAAAGAGGAAAAAGAAAGTATTGGCATTCACTGGTGTTGCTCAGTGGTTTGAGCGTGCCAGCCTGTGAGCTGAAAGGTCAGCAATTAAATTATCAGTCAGGGTACATGCCTGGGTTGCAGGCCACATCCTCAGTTTGGGGCGTGCAAGAGGCAACCAATCTGTGTTTCCCTCACACATTGATGTTTCACTCTCTTTCTCCCTTCCTTCCCCACTCTCTAAAAATAAATAAATAAAATTTTAAAAAGTATTGCCTCTGGGGAGAATGTAAAATGAGATGTCAAAAGACATTATTGTATTAGTCCAGGTTCTCCAAAGAAACAGAACCAACAGGATATGTCTATATTTACACAGAGAGATTTATGTTAAGGAGTTGGCTCACTTGGTTGTGGAGGCTTGCTAAATCCAAATTTTGCAGGGTAGACCAGGAGGCTGGAGACAGGGGAAGAGTTGCAATTCAAGTCCGAAGGCAGTTTGCTATAGGATTCTTACTACCTCTAGAAGGTCAGTATTTGTTTTGTTAAGGCCTTGAACTAATTAGATGAGACCCACCCATAGTATAGAGGATAACCTACTTTACCCAAATCCACTGATCTAAATGTTAATCTCAAACCAAAAAACACTTACACAGGAACACATACCATGGCCCAGCCAACCTGACACATAAAATTTGCCATCACAAGTACCTTGGCAAATTCCACGTGCTTTTGTCTATTACTTGGGCCTTCAGAAATGGAGATGCTGCCTATTCATTGTTCCAGAGTAGATTAGACCCAAAATATCTTATTTCAGTTCATGGAAACCAAGGAATCAAAACCCTAATTTAGGAATTTTTCTTAAGAGGTATCTCTTCTCACTGGCTGCTATGGCTTCATTCTCTGTAAAGGGCATTCCCTTCTCCAGTATCCAAGTTCCTGATCAGTGAAGTTGTCAGACAATTTTGCTTACTGTCCAAAGGCTGAGTAAATTAAACCAGTTGTTAGGCAGCGAGATCAAAGCCTTCCTAATCCCAGGGAATTTAAGCATGGAATGATTTGATAGCCTAAATGTGAAATCCTGAAAATGTCTCTGTCTATGAAGTAAGATTGATCCTCCTCTTCTCCATCCTTTAAAATTTTCATTAGTTAAAATTGCCATAATTTTTGGTAATTGAATGACGTATATCTTAGAAAAGGAAAATACAGGCTTGTAGGAAGTTCATGTCATAGGTATACATAATCCCTATTGCATCTTGTCTCTAGTCCTATGGAATATTCTTACCCACTCTGTGCTAAAGACACTATAGACTCTGAGGAATCAGAAATCAACGAGATTTCAGTTATTTCCCATCATACACTCAGTATCTGCTTGTATGAGGACAAAATAAAATGTTCTGTCAGAGACCCAAGGAGACCCATACCTTCAAATCACAGGATATTTTAATCAAAGTGTGTAAAGCTAGCCTGTTAATATTAATAATATCTGAAATTTATTTTGTCCTTTGTATATACATTCATCACATATGTAATCACACATGTAGTTTTCACTATATTGCTTAATCCTGCAAAAGTGCAGTTGTGATAATCAGGGATCAACTTAGATGACAATGTTGAGGGTCAGAGATACGAAGGACTTGCCCCATATTGCACAAGTTAATAAATAGAGCAGACAAAATTAAACTAAATTGCCAGTCTCTGCTGCCCATATGATAAACTTCTTCACTCTGTTTCCCGACACTTCAGAAAGCTGAACACAGAAGTTCAGAGGTCTTTACCAAAAGCACAGCTAAGATACATCTTTTAACCGATTTTAGTTTCCTAAGAATTGAACCCAACACTCTTAATTTAGATTTCTTTTAGCGATTGAGAAGGGCTAAGGTACAGGAATGAAGGAGGAAGAAGACAGTTGAAGGAAAATCTAGGAGCAGGGGCAAGAGCAGAATGTGCCCTGAATTATAACCTGCTGGTTTTTCTCTGATCCCCACCGTGAGGTCCCCTATCCCTCCTATAATCGGTGTGGCAAAGGGTTCCATTGCTCTCCACGGAGGTCTTCTGGGAACCCCCAAAAGGAAGAGGACAGTGAACAGGGGTCTCTGCCTAGAGTGACCTGGCAAGTGAAATGACGAGTTCGGTTGGCAGGAGAGAACACTGGCGACCCGGCCCGCGTCTGGAGCCTGGATGCCTGGATTCAAATCTGAATTCGCTCCTATTTTACCACATGACCTCGTACAAGTCATATTTAAATGCTGTGCTCCTTTACTTGTATGTAAAATGATGATAATGTGCATTCCTCTTTGTTGGGAGTGGTTATACAGATGAAATGAAGCAAGCTGTAGAACTCTTAGCTCAGGGCCTGGCTAAATCAAGGAAGTCCTCAGTGACCGTCTGTGATGTCTGGCTTACTGTCTTCATCCTCATCCTCCTCCTCATCAGCCCCTTCTGAGTACTTAGGGGTCTGATTCGAGAAGCTTGTTTCCTGCCATCATGGGGGTACTTCCTCAAGAGCCAGAAACACTGTGAGAGGAAAGCAGAACTCGGAATGAAAGTTCTTGCCCTCCCATCAGAAGCAAGAACCTGAACTTCATAGCGCCTGGAGTACAAACTGTTTTTTGGCCTGTCTACCCCAAACATCCTGCTTGTCCTGACATTTAGGAAACAATGCTCCGCCACCCCTCCTCCCTCCGCTGTCTCCGAGGGCACCCTCTGGGCTGGGCTGAGATTCTGCTGGTGCCTGACCCAGCAGGGCCAGTCCGCTGCCCCTGTGCTGCCTGGTAAGCAATCGTGGCTGAGGCTCTGTCCCTTGGACTGGCAGAAAGTACCCGGTCCACGCCTCCTGATGGAGATAACCGTTCTGAAAGAGGCAAAGGTGTGAAGCCAGGTAGGCAGGGATTGGCAGCCTGAAAGCCTGGAGGCACAGACTAATTATTTAGGGTAGTATGGCCTTGAGCACTCAAAGCACAGAGCTCGTAATTAGCTGAATAGATCTATTAACTCTATTCCCTGAACTCTTCTTAGAGAAAGATAATCTTAGAGAAAGATAATCTTAGAGAACGATAGGAAGGAAACCCCAGTGTCCTTGGTCCAACTCAGTTACATCTTAGCCCTTCCCCTCCCCTGGAGCAGGTTCATTGGCCACATATATCCAAAAGGAAGGCTCTCCTTAGAAAGATTAGATTTATTATTTCCACTTAAAGATTCACTTGCAATTTTGATTTTCTGCAATGGCATTGAA